GGTAAAAGTGTCATGTTCGATGCAAGTTCCCAATCAAACCAGAGGTCCAAATTACAAGTCACAAGACCATTTCAATTTAGGGTAAGCATGGAATGGTTTTCAGTTAAAATATTCAGGAACACAACTTCAGAAAATACAGCAAATATAATCTCAAACATAGTACTTCAAAACTAAATTTTATTCCTGAAACTTCAAATTCAAGTGATCATATTCAAGCTTAACTTTCGGACAGATTACAACTCCTTTTTACAAGCCGCCAAAGCAGCGATGAATTTCATCAAATATAGGAGATATCGAAGGAAGGAAACCTCAGCAAGCAACTCAAGGAGTAGGACTATCGATCCCCTAAACAGAGACCCAGAATTTGGCTTTCAACAGATTTTCAGTCTAGACCTTGCCATTTTCAAATCTAGTTTTCAGAAAATCTACAACTCCAATTTGAAATCCTTAAAAACTAGGTTAAACTAGACTGAATGAAGATGATTTAAAAAGAAATTCAGGAAAAGATTTAAAACCTAAGAGAAACAGGCCTGCTAACAGACGCAATCAGTTCTGAATTTTCTGCCTTTTCAGCAGTGAACATGTCATGTTAAAATCAAGTTTTCGGACAATTTACAAATCCGTTTTTAAATCCATAAAAACAGCAATACACTACACTAAACGAAGATGATTTTCAGAAAAAGAAAAACTGGAAAAGGATTAGTGAGCTAAGAGAAAAACTCGCCTAAACAGAGAGAAGCAAATCTGATTTTCTGCACTTTTAGAATACACCACTCAAGGTACGACGTTTCAAATAGAATTTTCCCACAATCCATTTAACCATTCGGCAAACTACAAAACCAAAAGAAGACACCACAGGAATAGTGTGATAAGAAAACATACACACAACAACAACAAATCATATATCCTGATAATCATGCCCCTCCAATTTAACTAATCAAATCTGGTGGAACTTCAGATGCTTTTTTCCTTGTTCTAGTTGACAACTAAATTCAAAGTTCAACAACATAAATAAGTCATCTATAAATTCCTATTAGCAATCAAGGAAAACATGCGACAAAGGAGAAAGAGGTTTAGCTACTACAAACAGATCCTTAAATTCTTCTAATCAATTCCAAACCTTCTAAGCATGAACTATATATCATTCTGGCAGAAATTATACCTCTTGTGGCTGATTCTCGGTGTTCCTAAATCACCTCAGCTACTACTCCCCTTGCTGATTGAATTAAACGCTCCCTCCCTTTCGGCCCTCCTCTCTTGATTCTCATTCTTTTAATTTTACTTCCTCATCCCTCTTCCCTTTTTTCCCATTGCTGCTATAATTGATCTCTAACGGAAGAAATTGATGGAAGATGATGGTTAGAGATGATATGTGGTGAAGGAGGACGATGGAGACAGGACAAGATGATAAAGTGAACACCGGTGAACAAGGACTGTGAGGGTTGGTTGGTTGGATATTGGAGAAGGATGGAGAAGTGAAGCAAAATTGGGTTTGGGAATAGTCTCGGCTGTTCCAAATAGGAAGAAAGAAAGATATTATTTACTTCCTGGTCCTTTATGTAGGTTAGCTTAATTACTCAAGTCCTTAGGTTTCCAAATGGTTCATTTGAATCCCTTTTTATGTTTAATTAGTTAATCAAGATTAATTTGCCTTAAGTTTGTTTTAAAGGGTTCAAATAAAATTATTTCGCCCAACATACTAAGCAGAGAGGTCCTAAGAATCGGGTTCTCAAATAAAGCAGAAGAACAGCCATGATAAACAAACATAGAAAAAATTAGACTTGCAAGAACGAAATGCATGGGAAGTGAGGAAAGAAGCAAACCGCTGAAACCAAGAGCGAGGTGCTTGCTTGAGGCCATAGAGAGCTCGATTAAGTTTACAAACATAGTTTGGGTGCTGGTGGTGAACAAACCCTAGAGGTTGTTTCATATAAATAGTTTCCTGCAAGTGACCATTTATGAAGGCATTCTTGACATCAAGTTGATGAATGGGCCAGTTGTGAGAAAGTGCTAGAGATAACACAATCTGAATAGTAGCAGGACGAATAACATGGACTATAAGTGTCACCAACATCAATACCAGGTCATTGGGAATAACCCTGCGCCACAAGTCTGGCTTTATGCCGATCCAAAGACCCATTAGATTTTACCTTGACTCGAAAAACCCATTTCGACCCAATCACATTGATATCAGGAGGTTTAGAAACAAGTGTCCATGTATTATTGCGAGACAAAGCAACAATTTCATCATTCAAAGCCTGTTGCCACTCGTCAAACTTACAAGGTTCATGGTATGTAGTTGGTACCTGCAAAAGAGCATTAGTAACAGAACTAGCTAGATTAAAAATCACCTTGGATTTTCGAGTACCATCTTGAGTGCGAGTGACCATAGGATGAGGGATATGGGGAGGTGAAGTACTCAGAAGAGGGGAAAACTCAAAATAAGGGGTGAGGGAGAGGGAGAGGAGGAGAGATAGTAACTGGTGAATTGATGGTAATTGAATGAGGTATAGATCAAGTACGAGAACTAGAGGAAGGAGGGAAAGACCTTGGGAGCAGAGCAGAAGGAACTAGAGGCTCGGGTGGGCGAAACGAAGAGGTAGATGAGGACGATAGGGATACACTGAAAGAAACGGAAGCAAAAGGAAATGTATTCTTATCAAACACAACATGACGAGATGTGATGAATTTATTATTAGTAAGATCAAGACATCCGTACCCTTTTTTATGGCTTGGATACCCAAGAAAAACACATAAGGTGGAACGAGGTGCTAACTTGTGTTCAACAGTATGAGAAAGGTTAGGGTAACAGGCACAACCAAATGTTCGTAAATGGTCATATGACGGTCGTGTATGGTAAAGAACTTCATAAGGAGATTGATGGGATAAGTGCGGTATAGGAAGTCGGTTAAGAAGATAGGTGACGGTGTTCAAAGCTTCAACCCAAAAAAGTGGAGATATGGATGCTTGAAAAAGTAAGATACGAATCATATTAACAATAGTAAGGTTAAGACGTTCAGCCTTATCATTTTGCTGAGAACAAGCAGCTCAAGCGAAGATGAATGCCATGAGTTTTAAAGAAATTCCAAAACAAGTGGTTTCCATACTCACCACCTTGATCACATTAGAAACAACGGATAGAAGCATTGAACTGATTTTTGACATATGCATAGAAGTTGGAGAAACAGGAGAAAACATCAAATTACTTTTAAGAGGAAAAACCCAACAATAATGAGTGAAATAATCCAAGAATGTCACAAAATACTCATCACTAGTAGGAGAGGTAACATGAGAAAACCAAACATCAGAATGTATGATTTCAAAAGGAAAAGTAGTACGAGAGCTAGAATTATCAAAGGGTAAGCGCATATGCTTCTGAAGTTGGCAAGCATGACAAAAGCCAAATTGAGAACTAGAGGGTGAACTAGAAACAAGAGATCGAGTAATTAATTTACGTAGGACACGAGAACCAGGATGACCCAGACGATGATGCCAAAGAAGAAGGCTGGTGCGGAGAGCTGTGAATGCTGGCACCGAAGATGGAGGAGAACAAGGACCAAGAGGATAGAGAGGGCCCGGACTATTACACCGAAGAAGTTTGGTATTGGTTTTGAGATCCTTAACACTTAAAACCAAAGGGGTCAAATTCCACAGAGCAATTATTATCAGTGGTGATTTACGCACAGGGATCAAATTTTGGGTAAGAGAAGGAACATGAAGTACATTAGGTAAAGCAAAGAAACGGTTTATGGAGGAAATAAAAGAGGAACCAAGGCATTTAATATCTAGCATAGCACCATTACCAACAAATACTTTGTCCAAACCAATATAAGGTGATGAAGTAAGAAGATTACCAGAATCATTAGTCATAGTAGCACCAACTGCAGAATCAAAATACTATGGCTGCACAGGGGAAGTGGTGGCCGGATAGGTAGTGAAAACTTGCACTGGTCGAGGAACTGAAGGACAAGAACGAGCCATGTGACCATAACCATAACAAGTGAATCACTGAACCAAATGTTGAAAAGAGGAAGCATGAATGGGAGAGCCAGCAAAAGAAGAAGAAGACTCCATGACTGAAGAACCAGAAGCAAAACCAGTGAGAACCGAGTTGAATCAAGCAGAACTGACCAGATCAAATGAACCAAAACAACAAAACAGAATCAAACCGAGTTAAACCAAACAGGCTTGAACCGAATTGGGTTGAACTGAACCGCTTAGTTGAACCAAAATGAACCAGATGAACCAAGACTAAAAGGACCGAGGGAGGCAAGCTAGCAGCAGGCCACAAAACTGGCAGCGAAGAAACCAACAACAGCCAATAATAAGCAACGATGGTGATGATGGAGGAATCCGGCAGCAAACCCAAGCAGCAGTGTCGACAAGCACCCAAAGCAACGAGCAATAGAGCAACAAAGCAAGAGCAAAGAGAAGAGCAGTAGCGGCAAAGAAGTAACGACAGCCCCGAGAAGAGACAACGGTGTAGGCGGAGATGACGACAAAGACGCAGTAGTGGCAACGAAGATTAACAAAAACCAGCAACGAAGATAAAGGACATCAGCAGCGGCGGTGATGGAGCTATTGTGGTGATGAAGAATAACAACAGTGGAGAAGAACAATCACGCCTTGGCAAGAAGAAATGCACGATAGATGAACGACAACAGCAGAATCTGGCGGGCAAAGAATAGCAGGATAGAAAGAATTGGAAACGACACAAGAGGAGAAAACGGCGACGATGAGGAATTGGGAAAAAAAATGGATGCATGACAGTAGAAGAAAGTGTGCGCCTACGGTAGAAATCCTAAAAAAAAAATATAACGGCCCAAGAATTAGGCTGATACCATGAAAGTATATGAACCTTAATTATTGTATTAGATTTACATATACAGGGTACAATACATATGAGTTTACAATAGTAACCCTAACTGATATAATCATTCATGGTCCGTTGAGTGTCATACCTAACTATGATGATCATTACATTGATTTTGATCATATAGGGGGTCTATGGTATCATGTTGAGGTTGGAATCAAGGATGATGGAAGATTGAAACTAAAATATGATTCGCGTCAAGCTAGAATCAAGTCGACAATGAAGTCAACAAGTTTACGTCGACTTGATGGCCAAGCAAATGAGATAGGCGAGAAATCTGACAAGGTGCGCATTGATGTTATAGCCAGGAAGAAGAAATCAACAAAGAAGTTGACAGATGGGCGTCGACTAGACTGTCGGGTGACAACAACATCGACAGAGACGCGTCGAGCATAATGTCGGTCGACGAGAAGGTCGACAGCGCGTGGACAGATTTGGCCGAATTTCCTATTTCGATTGGGAAAAAGATTTTCCCGTAATTTCATCATTATGGCTGACCTTCCTACCCTTCTAGAAGATTCTATATGGTTTTAAATAATTTTGACATGTGCAATTATTTATTTAATTATTATTTTAGTTATTTTTGGAAGTTTAGGAAACTTTTAGCCCAAGAAATCCAAATAAGAGTTCAAATTGGATTTCTCTTTGTATTGGTCGACCTAGGCAGCTCCTTGGCCTATAAATAGGGGCCTTGGTTGTGACTTTTAGATGCAATATGATATGCCTTTTAATATTATTGATATTTCAATACGAGACGAGAGGAAACTCTTTGTTCTTTTTCTATTTTTTTCGAAGATCAGTGCATTGCACACTTGTTTGTGCTTTTTTGATGCGTGCACGTGATTTTAGGTGTTCTTTACATGTGGAGCTTTGTTAGCTTGTTTATTGGAGCCTTTTCTCTAGCTGTTCTATACATAAATCGAAGAGATAGGTTTGTGAGAGAGGAACCGATTGGGTTGTTAACCAAAACACAATTCTGCATCTTTTGAATCTTTCCATTCTTTTGGTGCAAATTTTTGTGGTTTGCATTGTTCTTCTCCTTTTATTCTTCTCTGTTCCTGTGATTTGGAGTCTTCTCCATTGGTGTCGCAAGTTATCAAGTCTTGGAAAATTCATAACTTCCGCGTCGAGGTAAATCTACAACCTTTGCCTCAAAATTCATATCAATTGGGTATTAGTGCTTCGGCTCTGGGTACATGCATGTTTTGAAGGCTCTGAGAATTAGTTTCGTATCAATTTGGCCTCAAAGCTTCGGTTCTTGATTCCTTGCATTTGTTTTGATCTTCTAAAACTCACCTTTGGTTGATCTCTATTTGTTCTTTCATAATTTTGTGTCTTTTGTTATAGATCTCACTATTTGCTTCGAATTCGTTCTTGCTGAATTTGTTTGAAGTTGTAGTAGTTAGATCCAGTTGTGTGAAAACAAAATAGTGGTGGCGGCTGTTTGTGTGTTTTCTACCTAGGGTTTCAGATTTTAGGGTTCCTTAACCCTTAATCCACGTTTTTTGTAGTATAAGGAAAGAAGAAAAAGTAAAAAAAGGAAAAAGAAAGTAGCCGAAAAAAAAAGAAAAAAAATGGGAAACATATAAAAAGGAAAGTATCTTCTTTTTTAATGGTATATTAAAGCTTACCTTATTTTTAAAAAAAAAAGAAAAAAATGAGCAACATATATAAAGGAAAGTATTTTCTTTTTAAAGGTATATTAAATCTTACCTTATTTAAGGAGATTTGAGAGTGTGTATTCAAAAGGAAAATATCTTCTTAATAGAGGTACATCAAAGGTAACCTTATTTTAATTATTCGCACATATATTCGAAATTATTTGGAGTTTGTGGAGACTAGGGTTTTTGAAAAAAATATAACCCTAAATTTGTGTGGTGGCCGAGAACTAGGATTCATCCTTAACCTAAATCGAAGCTTAATTTTTTTATAATTTGCTCCAAATTTTACAAATATTTTTCGTGAGATCTAAGTTTCATAGTTGTAACTACTCGATCTGTATTCGTGTTCTTCCTTCGATTTTGTTACAATCTTTTAGAACCATACTTTATGACCTCTTTAGTGGCTTGCACAAACTAGCACTAATCTTCATTGCACTAAGGATTGAAGGACAAAGACCGTGGTAAGAAAAGTGTGAATCCACCCCTTACTAAATTCTAAGCCTTCTTGAGTGATCTTGGGGAGTGAATAGTGTAGTTGCGAGGGGCTAACAATGCAGTGAGTTCTTCGAAATTTTTTGTTCTTGTATGTGTTATGATGTTATAAGTGAGGTACAATGGGATACTATAATCATTATGATGAAGACTTGTAAGAAAAGGTTGAGGCGATGGATAGTTTCTATGACATACTTGATTCTATTATTGTGCCTACTAAGGAAGAAGTTCACCGTTCCTTAAACTATATGTCAAGACGGAATTTCTATCAAATTAGTGGAGTTGCTACTCTTGGTGACTATATTGTTGATGATGATGATGATGATGAAGTTTGTGATATTGAGGACGATGGTACCTTATACAACTATTTTGATGTTCCTATCGATGATGTCGTTGATCAAGAGAGGTCTCTTAGGAGTCAAGAGGTTGTGGGGATCACACAACATCGTGGTCAAGATGACTATTTCATATATGAAACTCCTTCAAAGGACGTTATTTCCAAGACATTGATGCTACATGAACAAGCCCTTGGTGATGATGTCCGAGATACAACAACAAACAACAGTGACGGCGAAGTAGTTATGGATATTTCAATCCACAAAATTCTTACATTTTGTTGGCTCAAAGTGGTTGATGAACACAAAGATCCAATTCTCATGGATTCATATGAAGAGATTGAATATATTGATTTTGTGTTTGGTGATAAACTATCGATGGAGGTTATGGTACTTGATCCAATCAATGATTTCTTAAAGACCTGAGATCGTACAAAATGAAGACAAAGAAGACTATAAGTATTGTTCCTTTGGAATTACACGAAGAACGATTTGAGGACGAATCATTTCGAAGAAAGGGGGAGTGATGTGATCCTGGATGGCCCATCGAGTGTCATACCTAACTATGATGATCATTACATTGATTTTGATCATATAGGGGGTGTATGGCATCATGTTGAGGTTGGAATCAAGGATGATGGAAGATTGAAAACAAAATATGGTTCGCGTCAAGCTAGAATCAAGTTGATAACGAAGTCAACAAGTTTACGTCGACCTGATGGCCAAGCAAAAGAGATAGATGGGAAAGCTGACTAGGTGCGCATCGATGTTATAGCCTAGAAGAAGAAATCAACAAAGAAATCAACAGATGGGCATTGACTAGACTGTCGGATGACAACAACATCGACAGAGACACATCAAGCATAATGTCAGTCGACGAGAATGTCGACAGCACACAGATAGAGATTTGGCCGAATTTCCTATTTCGATTAGGAAAAGGATTTTTCTGTAGTTTCATCATTATGGCCGACCTTCCTACCCTTCTAGAAAATTCTAGATGGTTTTAAATAATTGTGACATTTGTAATTATTTATTTAATTATTATTTTAGTTATTTTTGGAAGTTTAGGAAACTTTTAGCCCAAGAAATCAAAATAAGAGTTCAGATTGGATTTCTCTTTGTATTAGCCGGCCTAGGCAGCTCCTTGGCCTATTAATATGGGCCTTGGTCATGACTTTTAGATACAATATGATATGCCTTTGATTATTATTGATATTTCAATACGAGACGAGAGGAAACTCTTTGTTCTTTTTCTGTTCTTTTCGAAAATTAGTGCATTGCACACTTGTTTGTGCTTTGTTGACGTGTATGCGTGATTTTAAGTGTTCTTCTTTGTTAGTTTGTTCATTGGAGCCTTTTCGCTAGCCGTTGTATCCATAAATCGAAGGGATAGGGTTGTTAGAAAGGATCCAATTGTGTTGCTAACCAAAACACAATTCTTCATTTTTCGAATCTTTCCATTATTTTGGTGCAAATTTTTGTGGTTTGCATCATTCTTCTCCTTTTCATGTGATTTGGAGTCTTCTCCATTGGTGTCACCAGTTATAAATTTTTGGGCAATTCATAGCTTTCGTGTCGAGGTAAATTTACCACCATTACCTCAAGATTCATATCACTAACCCTAATACACACATACAATAATAGATGGAACCCTAGTCTCGGAATGTAAGTGGGAGGAAGAGCAATTTGTAACATTCTTTCAGCAACAATTAGGGCAAAAATTTGAAAGAGAAAGATCAAACAGAGAAGTCTTTAGTCAAGGGCCAAAACTAACCACTCAGCAACAAATGGAGTTGATACGGCCAATATCCTTGATAACGGTTAATTTGTAACATAAAAGCATGACAATTTACTCTTTAATTAGTAAGAAATTAGGGGTGTTTCTCAGAATTAGTTCATTTTACTTAACTAGTTTTGTGTTTTTAATTAGGCAAGGACCTGAGTGAACATTAGCTGAAAAAGGGGGCTTATGGAACAAAAATTGGGCTGCTGGATTCAAATTTGCTGAACTAGTCAAAAGTAACTTCAAGACACAAAGCACATTGGGAGTAAATAAGGGTGTCCCACCAATCCTCAGCACAAGTAGTGAGAAGAGCCCCAAGCAAGATGGATATGGTAGTGGTTTCTTTAAAGTTGCTTAGAATGTAATAGGATCGGAAGTTGTCAGTGTAGTACAAGAGTTCTTTACAACTAGCAAAATGCTCAAGCAATTGAACGCAATTTCCCGAGCCCTAGCTCCAAAAAACGAAAGCTCCACAAAATGCAGGGGAGTATAGACCAATTGGATGTTGCAATGTGGTCTATAAATGCATTTCCAAAATACTGAGTGAAGGGATAAAGGATATGTTGGCTGACTTAATAAATGAAAATCAAAGTGCCTTTGTGAAGAATAGATTGATTCTCCTCAATGTACTAATCGAGCGAGAAATGATTAGACTCTGAATAAGGAAAAGAATCTCAGAAAGATGCCTCATGAAGATCGACATCAAGAAAGTCTTTGACACAGTTGAATGGAGTTTTGTTTAGAAAATGCTATACGGATATGGATTTCCAGCAAAGTTCTCTGAATGGATTATGGAATGTGTCATCACCACATCCTTCACCATTTTCCTCAACTGGGTTAATGTAGGGCTTTTTCCACGCAAAATGAGGCAAGGGGATCATGTATTCCCTCTCTTATTTGTCCTAGTAATGGAGTATTTGACCAGGAAGCTAAAAATTGTAGCTGCAAACACCAAGTTCAAATTCCGTCCTTTATGCGCTGGCTTAAATATTTGTTTAATGCTATTCTATAAAGCAGATGTGAGAGTGTGAAAAGCATCACTGAGGGATTTAGAGAATTCTCAGCTACAACAGGACTATGCAAATGCCCACAAATTCAATATTTACTTTGGAGGACTGACCAAAGAGAAAAGGAGAAGAATATGTGATCTAACTGGCTTCCAAGAAGGTGATTTCCCAATGAGGTACCTTGGAGTACCACGTACACAAAAAAGTGGACTCAAGTTGAATGCAAAAACATAATCCAGAAGACGATGGCCAGACTCCAAATGTCGGAGCTCGAAAAAACTGTCATATGCAGGTAGATTACAACTCATTAATTCAGTTCCGATGTCCTTACATGTATACTGGGCTTGCGCTTCCATTTTACCTCAAGTTATTAGTATACAGGTGACTAGCATATGTAGGGAATTTCTGGGGGGAGGGGGTATATAGATCTTATCCTCTAATAGCTTGGCAGATTGTATGCAAAAGAAAAGGGGAAGGAGGATTAGGGATAAGAGATATCAAGACCTGGAATCAGGTAGATATATCAAAGCAAGTTTGGAATTTGGCACAGAAGAGTGACACACTTTGGGTGAAGTGGATGCGTGAGGTTTACCTCAAAAAAGAGTCCCTATGGAATTTTATTTTATTTTTATTTTTTTTGTTTTGGTGAGCAACCAGCCAACATGCTATGATTAAATATACACCATACTAAATCAGAGTTCTTTACATCCGACTCTAATAGCAAATCTATACAATCTGGGGGGAACATCAAAAAAATATATCTCCCTACGGGAGCCAAAAGCTTCTTCAGCGAGTGCATCCGCACCCGAGTTGTTGTTCTACTCGTATATTAAAAATGCACCTCCCAGTCTTTAAGCAAAAGATTGAAAATTCCACTATGGAAATTTTAACCAACGCCAGATTCCATCTGGCCTTGGAAACAAATTTTGAAGGTTAGAGATAAAGGAATGGAAGGATTTGAAAAGAAGAGATGGAAAGGGAATGCAAGAGGACATTACAGTATATGAGAAGGATATAAATAGATGTTAGGGCATGCAGATAAAGCAATAGAAGCTGAAGTCATTTGGTCGAGCATGAATGTTCCGAAACAATCATTCATAGCGTGGATAGTATGGAAAGGAAGACTTGTAACTAGAGACAGGTTGACACAAATGTCCATCACAGGGGTTGACCCCCTGTTTGCATTATGCCAAACTGTCTCAGAAAGTCATCCTCATCTTTTCTTTGAATGTAGTGTTTCAACAGATATATTCTTGTAGGTTCAGAGATAGCTGGAATTAGAATCCCAACAGATTGGAATGACAGGAGGAAAAAGGCTAGTTATGTCTTGAAAAAAAAAGCTAACATATAAAATTCGGTGTGCTGTCTTAGTTGCAGTCATTTATCATATGTGGGAGGAGTGAAACGGCCGTATTTTTGTAGGAAGTCACAATGACTGTGAAGTTATTGTGGCTACTATAAAACAAGAAGTGGTCTGGAGGATTGAAGGATAGAGTAATAGAGCAATGTCTGAAATAGAAAAGATAATAGTTGAGTATCTTTTTTGTAAATTCCTATTGCTTATAAATGACTAGAAAAAGGACTTTTGGATGTAAATATGGTTTCCTTGTCTAACATAAAGAATTTTACAGTTTCCCGGAAAAAAACATGTTCTCATTTTTATTATGAAACTAACAACACAAATTAATTAGAGGTTTCATTCAAAAAAGTGAATAATCTTTTAGCTATCATCTTGAAATTTATTTGTTTAATATTATGACTACATACTGTAGAATTAAAAATTTCTAACATATTTAATTGATTGGAATGTTTTATAAAAAAAATCAATGATTGAGATGTGATCAAAATAACTTTTTTTCTAAAAAAAGATGAACATGAAAGTCCACTAAAATAATAAATATTTTGTATCAATTTTTTGTGTAGCACATCCTATAACACTACTTAGATGATAAGACTGACACATACTTTAACTGTCTCGAAATGATCATACTCAAAATAAAAATTCAAATTGCACAAACATTTTAGAATAAAGAGGCTACTTGTTTCACAAACAACGCTTGGACATAACGCTAGTGTTTAATTATAATACTTACTTTAAACACGACTACAACTTTTCCTGGAACAACGATATTGAATAAATAAATAAATAAAATATATACTTCACACTTTGTGAGAATGATATGCATTGTAAAACTTTATTTTTATCTTTAAGTGACAGCTATTTTAAAATTGATGAAATAATAAATTTCTTGATGGGCCTACTAGTACAACTGTTGTATTTTAAGTGAATTGGTACCATATCTTACTTCCCTAGGAAAAAAAAATGCAATCATATTAACAATGTCAAAATAAAAACAAATGATCCATGTTAATAATGTCAAAATATAGTCATTCATTACATTAAGAAAACACACACGATCAATCACTATATTATAGTTTACTTGTTTGATAAAATACGGAAAATTTGGATAAATAACTCCACTAGTTCTGTTACCTTTTTGCAATACAAAACCTCCCTAGAACTGAATAAACATTTTCATACTATGTTCTAGGTGTTAAACCCTTCCGTTGGACATGACAGACAAAACAAAAATAGAAATTATAATATATAGAAATTGAAACTATTTGTTATTTTATAAATCTTATGTGAAAACAAAAACATTAATTATAAAATATATGATTCATTACCATATGAATATAGTAATGTTTTAATTAATATCAGGTTGAGTGTCAAGAAACCACCCAATAAAGAATAGATTTTAACTTCGTGCACGAGGCAAACCAATGCAAATAAGACTTATGATAAAAGGAATGAAATGATTTAGTATTTTAAAAATTTTTAGCGAAAAAATTGTTCGTTTTTAGACTATGGCGCTAGACGTTAAACCCATTGGGCAAACGAATTCCCTTTTTTTCGTTCAACATTTTTATATTTCATCACCATCTCAATAGGTTAATACTAAAACTAGACTCATCATAAATGGATCACATTGATCTAGAATAAACTGTATTCCCATGTTTCAACTTCTCCCAAATAGATCAAGCATATTATCAGGTTCCAAGTTTTTCTTTTTTATATAAGAAAGGAGCCAAAAGACTTAGATACAAAAGTCACCTTTTGGTGAAACTTAATTTATCCCAATAGACTTGGACTTCCAAATCTGGTGGTAGATTGGGCAAAAAATGAATTCCCAAGGGAATCGAGAAAGGTGGATTGGGCAAAAATCGAATTCCCAAGGGAATCGAGAAACCTAATTTGGCTAAACTACCAGCTTAGTTGTCAGGTTCCAAGTTGAAGATGTATTTATACTGCTCTCATATTTATATGTACTTACACTAGACTTGACTAACAACTCTCAGTATAAAAAGGGAATTGGACAATAAGGGTAAACAACATTGGCAACTCGCATTGTCTGGTAATGATCGAGATAGTAAGCGATATTCAGGTAATCGTATGTGCATGATTCATCCATCCGGCACAGGCCCGTATAAGCAAGAGCGGGACAAATGGGAGGGCCCATGTAAAATGATCCAAGATCTGGATGATCAAAATTGCACAACACACTAAATTTGCATCTTCCTGTATGCAAATAATATTCGCAGCAATGGCGTCCCTCACGCCTTGGTAATCCGATATTGTTCACGGAAATATTTCTAACTTTAGGGTGGTCATATCTACCACCTGACACAAATCGACATCTTCTAGTCATCATGTAAAACTGAAACAAAGGCACAACAGATTAACATACAACTGATGATTCCAAACTTGAGTCTCATTGAGTCATGTAAATAAATGTCCATGCTAAACCAATATTCCAAAATAGTCCCGAAATTATTTCTTTAGAAATTGAAGATAATGATTTTATCTCAATATCTTGAAAAGAAACTAAGAAACTGATATAAACCATTATATGTATATAATACAATCTCAATAGGTTAACACTGAAACTAGACTCATCAAAAATGGATCACACTGATATAATATATATATATATATGTATATATATATATGTGAAAATGATATAAACCTATTTGTGCCAAAATAATCAGAAGAAACTGACGCATGCTTGCAAACAATATCAAACGAAAGTGTGTAATTCGTGAAGTGCAAATATTTGGCTAGGCGTGAAAAGAAGGGTGTTAAACTTGTGATAACTTGAATAAAAACTGAATTGCTAGTAAATTGATAGGCTTTAAACAAAATACAATAAGTAAATCGAATTAAAATACTTGTAAGAAAGTATCGAAAATAAAAAAAGGGTGCTAAAAGAAAGAAAAGAGCTTTGCAACTCGTGTTGTATTTGTATTGACGATGAGTTGTGTGTTGTGTCGCTCCTCTTTCTCTCTTTATATAGGGCTCGGTAATCGTCTAAGGCGGTGCGATCTCCAATTCCTATTCCAATTCGGTGTTGCCGATTTAGAGTTGCAATTGAAATTTATTTCCGATTTTTTGTTTCCTTCTTTAATTGCAACTCCACTTGGACTTGGATTTAGCTTCCTCAATGTCGTGTCGTCCCTTCAACGTTTTTCCTTCACTGATTCGGGAATGGACTTTATTTCTCCGCGTCGGACCTGGATTTCTTGCAAAGCTGGACCTATTCACCACTTTTGTTGGGCCGGTTTGATTTTAATTAAAATCAGTGGTAACACAAAGCCCCCTCAAGGCATAGCTCATTTTACCAAATATGGTGTGTCTTGAATATCCATCGGGCCAACAATGAATTGGCCTAATAAGCAGTAGCCCAAAAATAGGAATGAAAAATGGTGTATGGCGGCCCTCCCCAGTCAAAGGCGTAACGGAGGTAACGTTTTTGAATGGTAGAATCGGATAAGATCTATTTCAAATAAATCCATTGATGAGGAGCGTCGGGCCTTAAAATGAGATCCCGCGAATCGAGGAATATCAGTTGTCAAACAATGCTGCATCTCCAAAACGTCATTCCATTGCTATTTTCTGAATTTCAAAATCCAAGAGTCTTGACTCTTCTCTTTTCTGGCGATTTCACCAAAGAAAAACCCAAAATTTAGAAAAATCGCAGATCTTGCAGAAGCTCCATGTCTAACGTGTATGCGTTGAGGTTTGATGCAGATTTGGCAAAGGAAAGGAAGGTGAAACCGGAGGAGCTTCTGGCCTCATCGCCGGATTTTCACTAACTGCTCAACCCTCACAGACCACCAAATCACTATACTCTGGGCCCTAATTTTATGGCGGACAATGCCACGCTGCGGGAGTATGTTCCAGTGCTCCACTCCAAAAATCCATCTCATCGTTTTCTATGCACCGGATTTGGGCGAATCTGGGGATGGCCATGGACCTCAGAAAAAGGAAATGTTCATCAAGAATTCCGCAAATGGGCTAAGAAGACGGAGAAACACCATTCGGCGACCTGGAAAAAATTGGAATAGATGACTTGATTCAGTTCTGTCAGATGGGAGTATTCGACAATGAGGTGCTATAAGGTCTTGCATCAAGATTTTGGAGTAGCTCCAGCAATGTGTTCTGTTTAACACGAGGTTTCATGACTCTGACGCTGCTTGATGTGGCGGTGATAACCGGAATACCTGTGGTTGCGGATGTCACTGTTGATGGTGACAGTGAAGACGCTGATACGGCTGCGGCTGGATCAAACTAACATCAGGGGCACGGTCCATACATCAAAGAAAACATGCCAAAACCGTGTAATTATCATCTGCAACATATCCGATTCTTAGCGTTGTGGCTAAACCGGTACATCATCTGTGGTAAGCCTTTCCAAATGACAAAAGATATGTATCATATGGCTGCTATTTTAGCTTCTGGAAAATCCATCAACTTGTGTGAGATCATACTTTCGCTTCTGTACCATAGTATGCATGAGATTAGGAAAGCTCCAAATGAAACTGTGTTTGGCCCAGTATGGCTCTTGTTTTTGTGGTTTTATATGTACTATCGCAACGGAGGGTAGCATGGATCAAACCAATAGGAGGCCAGTCTCTATGTTTGAGTGTAACCCATACTGGTGTCGCTAAGTATAATAGCAAATGGGTAGCCCAAATGTTGTGGAATTCTGCTCCTGATTTGCTTGTGATATTGAATGAACTGTCACATAAGCACTAGCACCCTACCTTTGGTGCACATACACAAGTTGAAGCTGAGTCTGGGGAATGGAATAATGATAGTGCCTTTGGTCTGGCAAATGTATGGAGAAGATTGTTAGTACCCAGAGACCTGTATTATGGATTTAAAAGTTTACCTCCCCAAACTGGTGAGTGCCATATGCATGCTGATACTATCCGACAGTGATGGTAGCAAGACAGTTTGGGCTAGTGCAAGGGATCCCTTTTTTGATGTAGGTTGCAAACATACTTGGGACTTGGGAAGGGGAAAGATGACCATGCTGGAGTACTATGAGCAAAGGGAGATTATGTCAAACAGGTGTCGTTCTAGAAAAGTAGTGTCGTTCCAGGTGGGACCAGAAGCATTTGTTGTGTTTTACATTTTTCTAGAAGAAGTGCTGCGTACCCTGTACTCGCAAGGGCTGGATGGTGTCTTGAAGGAAGTCCTGGCTATTGATGCGGATATCCCAAAACTGCATGTTGTTGATGAACAAGCTCCCCCAGGTATTGAATTTACTCCTTTTTTTAACTTTTTGATGATATGATCTGAGTTATAACACTGAACTAATCTGGAGACATTGGAGTGGCAGTCATAATAGGGAAAAATCCTACAGCGACCGGGGGAAGAAAGAGTCAAAAGAGGAAGAAAGCACCAGGGCCATCACAACAAGTGAAGCGACGTACATCTGCCAGGTTGGTCGGGACAAAGAAAAACGCTAATAGTAGTTCCCGGGTAAACTTAAACTTATGGTTGCAGTGTGTATGTCGATTGACAAACTTGTGACGAGTTTTTCATTTGTGTGACAGAAACCGGCGGAGATGGTACATCTGTCTACTGAAGAATCTGATGTAAGTGATCACAAAGAGGTGTCAGAGTCCATAGAAGAAGATGCAGCTAGTAGTCCTGAACAACACCTATCCACACCGCATAAACGGCAACCTGGTTCCAGAACTTCACAAAGAAGTGCCAAGCCTGCTGCAGCTACTCTTGCTGTCCCCACAATTGAGGAGTTGCAAAAACGCTTGTTCTACAAGATGGAAGAAATGACGACAGAGATCAAAACTGGCGATAAAGTAACACAATCTGTGGGAGCTGCGTTAAGAGAATTGCAAAATTTATCCAAGATCAACGCAAAACAGGTGCACGCAATGTATCACCAGTCACTGAAATGTGTGTTGGAGACCATTCAGGGAAGTGATTTGTCAGATGCTGTAAAAGGGACAGCTGCCTTAGTTCTGAGCAAAGGAAGATTAGCTGTGAAATCTGCGTGAAACATGTGGCAGACTACAATCATGCAGCTATGGCACATCTTGACGCTGAGAAGACGACAAAAACCCTAGTGGAGCAGGCAGTAGCAATTGCAGCTCATGCCAAGGAGTTGGCGGCACAACAGGCGGCACTAAAAGCAGATTTGAAGAACGTCCGAGAATAGCGTCAAGAGGCAGATCTGTTGTATCAAAAGATGGCTCAACAGTGCACTGAAGCAATCAGCCTGTGAGATGACTGTGCCCAAGACACCAAGGAAAAGTATGTCCATTATGAAAATGCTCAGCCTATTACTACAGAAGCATCCAAGATGTGGAATTTCCTGAAAGGAGCATTGAAAGACATTCCCGTGCCGCCGAAAACTCCCTCCCCAGATGCAACGGAAGAAACAAACAAAGATGATCATCTGTCAGAGGTGCGATCAGTGCTTGGCGGCATTGCTGGGGAATCAAGTGACACTATGGCAGATAAGCGGGATGAAAACGAACCTTGATTCGAGCCACCTGCATGTGGGTGCAACATATGGCGACTTGTGCCAATTTTATCCTTGTTTGCTTTGCTGCTGAATTGATGAATTCGTTTTACTGGATTATTGTGGAAATACTTGATATGATATTATCATAAATAGCGTTTTGCTGCCATATCTTTGGCTTGATTTTGATGTTGTGGATCCAACTGTTCCCAGCGAGACAAGTAATACTTCTTTAAATAGGTAGCATTGATAGATCTTTCACTGATTTTGCCATCTAAGACAGCCAATGTATACTCGTTGCGTCCTAAGTGGTGATGAATGACAAAGGGTCCCTCCCAAGTCGGTGTCCACTTGCCATACTTAGGATCACGTTGACTAATGGGAAGGAGAGCTTTCCAAACCTTTTCACCAACTTGAAAAGTCCTTGGTCGTACATGCTTGTTATACTGTTTAATAACAAGACTCTTCTCATACTCAATTTGTCTGGCCGCATTAATCCGAATTTCCTCGATCTGATCTTGCAGAATCTGCATGCTCAAGCGATACTCAACAGAATCTATCAGATGCTGACTTGTGACACGAAGGGATGGAATCAAATGCTCAATTGGTACCACTGCATCATGTCCATAAAGTAATTCATATGGTGTAGCATGTGTTCCGCCACGTTTAGACATGCGATAGGCTCATAGAACTTGTGGCAATAGAGAATGCCAAGCCCTAGGATTGTCTGATATGTGACGATTCATGATGTTCTTGATAACCTTGTTGCTAGCCTCTGCTTGACCGTTCCCTTGTGCAAAATATGGAGATGAGTGAGTAAGCAAGAAACCAGCATCTTTAGCAAACTCTTGCATTTCCGTGCCAACAAAGTAATGAGCTCGATCAGTGACAATAGATTCAGGAAGGCCAAACCGATACAACACATGTTCCTGTAGAAACCGGATAATAGCCTTCTGATCAGCATCTTTCAGTGGCACTGCTTCAACCCATTTTGTGAAATAATCAGTGGCTACCAGTATGTACCGGTGACCGCTAGAAGAAGAAGGGTGAATCATACCAATGACGTCTAGTGCCCAACATCTGAAAGGCCAAGGCTTGACTATTAGTTGCATGGGTGCAGTCACAACTCGTGGAATATCGCCATAACGCTGGCACTCAGTACAAGCTTCATTCATCTGCAAAAAACTTGTGTTGAATAAACCTGTTTGTGCGAAAATAATCAGTAGAAACTGATGCATGCTTGTAAACAATATCAAACGAAAGTGTGTAATTCGTGAAGTGCAAATATTCGGCTAGGCGTGAAAAGAAGGATGTTAAACTTGTGATAGCTTGAATAAAAACTGAATTACTAGTAAATTGATAGGCTTTAAACGAAATACAATAAGTAAATCGAATAAACTACTTGTAAGAAAGTATCGAAAATAAACAAAAGGGTGCTAAAAGAAAGAAAAGAGCTTTGTAGCTTGTGTTGTATTTGTGTTGATGATGAGTTGTATGTTGTGTCGCTCCTCTTTCTCTCTTTATATAGGGCTCGGTAATTGTCTAAGGCGGTGCGATCTCCAATTCGGTGTTGTCGATTTAGAGTTGCAATTGAAATTTATTTCCGATTTCTTGTTTCCTTCTTTAATTGCAACTCCACTTGGACTTGGATTCAGCTTCCTCAATCCCGTGTCGGCCCTTCGACGTTTTTCCTTCACTGATTCGGGAATGGGCTTTATTTCTCCGTGTCGGACCTGAATTTCTTGCAAAGCTGGGCCGATTCACCACTTTTGTTGGACCGGTTCGATTTTAATTAAAATCGGTTGTAACAAAACCATAAAAAGTAATATATACCCTAAACATTAGTTTGAATATATTTATGGTAAATGATTAAATACCATTAATGACGTGTAAAATAATATGTGGTCGTAAAATTAAAGATTAGATAGGTAATATCTATGCATGTTTTCTAAAATTATTCAACTTCTATGAAATTTTTTCCTTTTAAGTTTTAGTTGAGATGTTGAAACAAAGGGAATCGAAAAGGTTATGGTTAAGATGACTAGTTATGAGTTTGAAACATATAAACATGGAGCGGTTCGGAATTTTTTGACCACATATTTCACTCCTTGAGTTACCAATCTTAGGTGCTTAATGACCCAATGGGAATGAAACAATTTTAAATCTTGTTGTCAACAATGCTACCTATTAAAATGCCTTAATACCACCTCTTAAGGTTATCAACCCATTGACATATCTAGTCCTACTCATTAAATTAATTTAGTAGTTGTCTGATCAGTTGATAAGCCTTAGACACTACGGGAGTAGTTTTAAATCATTTAAAACCATTAACGTCTCACCCGTTAAAAAAGCCTTAGTAACAGATGTTAAGGTGTTAATTTTTATTGGAGCAAATTTAAATGTTTTGACCAAATGCACCATCTCAACAACCTATAAATCTTGTAATCAATTACTAGGTTCTGAATCCGTGCATTTGCACGGGTACGTAATAAACTATCATTTATTTAAATTTGAATAATTTTGAATGTTAAAACAGAGTTTTATATTATTAAAACCAAAAGTTGAGAATGAATAAATATATTTGGTAACAACACACAAAATAGTTTTTGAGTTGAACAACAACATAGCAGACATCAAACAATATTCCAACAAATTAGAAATAAAAAGTAGCATACTGGCGGCAATAAAAATCAAGTTTCTATTTTTTCGGATTTTTTTGAACCAGAAACATAAAAGAAAGCTCAAAAGAAAGTATTATTTTTTTCAATCTCTTCAGTGATATTAAATGAATCATGAGCATGAACTCTTCAATTGAAAGAGAAGTGGGAGCGCCCACTAAGAGAAGCAACTTGCAGCGCAAAAGTTTTGAAAACACAAATAAAGTATATTTCACA